CCGGCCCTCAAGATGTTGCTGTGCTGCTGCAAGCAGCTATTCCTAGGCAATACACTTCAATAGTAGCCAGGAGCCCCTAAGCCTGGCCCTTTGCAACTTTCTCAAACAAAGGGCCACCCTGCCCTTTGGCCCATGTAGCCATCGCATAGATCGGTTGCAGACACCACTTTTTAATTATTAAAAAAAAAAAAAAGCTCGCGGGCTTTCAATTATGTGTTGAAATCGGGCCTCCTAAAAGTAGCTGCCACAGGTCTTGTGTGTTTGCATTTCCCCATGACCCTGGGGTGGAGGGCCTGTGCCCGGTGTATCATCTTCTGCCCCAGACTCCTTTGCTGTTACTGCTACCTACTTTCTTTCTCTCTTTTTTGCAAATCGTTCCTTGCCTGAATGGCCCCGGGAGGGCTGTACCTGTTGCACCTGCGGGGCTGCCCGTGCAAGTGCATGGGAGGTGGTGCAGGAGGTGGACACACGAGCTAGCAAGGCAGTGTGCTCGGGCCGTTCCGAGAGGTCCAGGCCTTTACAAGGAAAGCTTTGATTCTATTTTTTGCTGAACCAGCTCAGCCACTTCCTGTGTTGGGCCTCGCACTGGGCCTCCTTCACCACCGGTGACTGGAGCCCCTCGCGCGCGCACGCGCGCGCCGCAGCAGCCGGTCTCCGAGACTATTTTCGGTCCCGCTCACAATGGCCTTCTCATTGCCTCGGCTAAAAATGAGCGGGGCAGGCCTGCTTGGGCCACTTGTGAGCCGATGATAACTTTGACTTTGGCTTCGAGCCTGCCCCCCTTCCCCCCGCCTCCCCCGCGCGAAATCCCTAGCTCAGCAAATATTTGAACCTGCCCAAGTTAATCATGAAGCGGCGATCTTTATCGCGGGGAGACGTGCGCGCGCCGGGGCCGCGGCCTCCCCAGCTCGGCCGGCACTCGGGCGCGCTGCTGCCTGCGGAGCGGGCGGGCGGGCGGGGGCCGGATCCGCCGCGAGTGCCCCCTCCCTTCCCGAGAGCCGAGGCTCGGCCCCCGCCCCTGCGCGCGCTCCCCGAGCCGGGCCGCGCGGCAGACTAGGGGGAGCCGTGGGGGCTGGCCCCCGTGGGTGTGGAAGGAAGATTCGCTTTGGGGAGTTTTTGGTGGTGGTTTCTCCCGGTGGTCGGCTCCGCGCGTTTCCACGGGAAGCCATTGAAATGCATAACCTGCAAAGTAAGTTGCCTTTAATTTGTGCCCCTGTCACTGCGTCTGTTGCTTCTACTCTTGCTAAAAGGCTGCCGTCTGCAGCAAGTTTTGGCGCGTGTGTGTGTGTGTGTGTGTGTGTGTGTGTGTGTGAGAGAGAGAGAGAGAGAGAGAGAGAGAGAGAGAGAGAGAGTCATTGCTGCCTGAAGAAGGGAAAGGAGAGATTAGGGGAGACACTCCCTATTTCCCGCAAGGGGTGGGGGACGGTGCCAGGGAAAGATGAGGTTTAGGTTGGAAGGTAAGGACAGAGGGAATTACAAAACGTGTGGCTGGGAGTTGGTTCCAAGCCAAGCTTTGCAGAGACCATGGAAAATCACCTGTCTGCCTGCCTGCCACCTCCAGGGTCGGTGTGCCACATGGGCGCCAGCAGCCGCTCCGTTTACACCCAGCGCGCCCAAGTGCCCTGCAGGCTGTCTGGCCGGCTCAGTGGTGCACCCTGGAGCAGCTGCTCTGGGACCTGCCGCGTGCCCTCTTTGGAGAAGCCAAGAGTCAACATTTTTATTAAGCTGCGAACCCCACTCCCCCTCCCCTCCCCCCCAACTACCACTTTTACCATTTTTAAAATTTGCATATGAGTGTAGGTTTACCTAAACCCTTAGGTAAATAGAAAAGTGTGGGAGGGGACTGGGTAAACTTGTCTTCCCATTAACGGGCAGAGAAATTAAATTAAACTGAAGGGGGAGGGGCAGTCCACAGGAATCAGGCTCAGACAACCCCCCTGCCCTTGGTCTAATTTGTATATACTTTATGATCCAGATTTGATAGAAAGTGTAGGCGAACAAATCTCAGTGGGCCCCACGTTCTTTAAATTGTCACCGAAGTGTGTGACATACACAGGCAGAGATTACAAAGCCATTCTAGTTATTAAAATGTGCCACACTTACACGAGGGGTTCTTTCTCCCCCTCCCTCCCTCCACCCTATCACAATATTGTGACTATAAAGAGAGGTGGCTTCAACAGGAGCGTGCACCTGAAGCTCCTGTGAAGAGTGGCAGCATGCTATGGAGAATGATATTTGAAAAACTGAAATGAATAATTAGATCTGCAGGGGAATTGAGTTCTTACATTCAATACTGCTAAGAAGGAAGACTATCTGTCTCCAGAGTGAGGCATAGGAGATCAGGAAAGAAAAGGGGGGGAAAAGGAAGGAAGAAATGATGACATCACCCCTTTCCTAAGCACAATAAAGCCCAAGACAGGTTCATATGGGGGAAATAATTTAGAAGGATCGCTCTTTCCTCCGTTTCTCGAAGGGACACCTTACCTTGCCCACTTTGGTGTGACTGTAACATTTACAGCCTCAGGACTAATGTTAACAATTATGCTGCCGATTCCTGCTGGTTATATGCATCTTCGTTCCTGTTGAGAATTTGCATTGTTGTTTCATACAGTCTAGCCTACACTTGCACTGTTTGGTAAAGGAGACTTTTTTTGGTTTTCGCGGGCCCCCCCCCCCATTGTGCTTTCTAAGGAGGTGCATGTGTGACCATCTGTAAGTTGCGAGTTTTCCGTGCATTATGTAGGACTGAAAGGAAATATCCTGAGTTCTTCAGCCTTGCTGCTTAAAGTATACTTGGGAGATATTTAAAGACTTTGAAATAGACCTTAAGCTTACTATTCTGCTGCCATTGTGAGATTTTTAAACCTCACATACACGGAGCTACCAGTCTCTCTGTAAACCCAGATGCATGCTCCAGGGAAAGGGGAAAGAAAAAACAAAGCTACGTGTGCAGCATATCCGCTTTTGTCACCCTGCCAACCCCGGAGCAGACTATGCTGCAAAGAGTCCTGAAAAAGGAATTAAGAACTCACTGCTGGAAGAGAGCGGTCAAATTAAACACCTTTTCGAAACGATGAACACTGTACACATGTCCCCTCTGTTAAAAGCCGTCCTTCTCTAGGCTGGGCTTGTGGGAAGGCTGGTCTGGGAGGGAAATGAGGAAGCAGGAGTGGTCTGGTGACATTTTTCCGACTTGATTGGCTGGGCTGTGTGATGTAATAGGTTACAGTGCAGCCCCTTATAGGTTTTAAAATGAATTCCAAGACACCATTACAAAGAAAGCCGGACTCTTTTCTTATAACTGAGCTCAGCCAAGGAAACTCTCGCACAAATGTACAACACTGTTTGGAATATGGAAGACCTGGATATAGAATATGCTAAGACAGATATAAATTGTGGCACAGACTTGATGTTTTATATAGAAATGGATCCACCAGGTAATCCTGCAGTATGCTTGTAGAGAGCTAGTTAATGTTGTGATTCTTTTGGTTTTGATTTGTGACAGCTACTGTAACATGCCCTCTGTAGATGTCTGCTTTTATTAATTCATTCTGGGATGACAATTAGTTTGATCAGCGCTTGAGAATGAAACAAATTGTTGGCATGCCCGTGGAAGCAAGCGGAGGAGGCTGTGTATGTTAAGTGCTGCTGCTTATTTGAACGGAGAGGAGTTGAATTCCAGTTTGTCACTGGTGTCTTGTGAATCACAGGGGTGGTGGTGGTGGTGGTTGTTGGGTTATACTGTTGTGTCTTGTTCCTGTGATACAAAGAAGCACCTTCTGTGCTGCTTTCTTTTGGTTGACAGTGGGTGAGAACCGTGTGGCACTTTGCAGTGGTAACACTCGGTGCTTCAGCAAGCATGGAAAATGTGGCAGTGATTGCAACTCGGTCCTGGGTGACCCGAAACCATTCTATATTTAAGTCAGATGTGGAGGCTTTGCTTGGTCTGTCTTATATGAACATCCTGTAGTGAGGCAAAGAAGAAGAAACAACTGGCTTTCTAGTGTTTAATCGGGAATCTTTGTAGACTACTCATTTCAGACACCTGAAATCATTGCTGCATAAAGGTGGTAGCAGCGTGGTGCTTTCAAACTTAGAATTTTAGCTCAAAGTCCTAGATAAATTTTGTTTTCTGAATTTCTTTATTCTAATGTTAACCCCACCCCCACCCCCCTAAGAAATAATAGATGACACAGTAGTTACCAGTTGGTATATGTGTGCTGGTTTGACATTGAGAACGGGGGATATGGTTTTCAATCACCCTTGGTTTATAGAGCACAATTTCTTCAACAGAATATCAGCCTTCAGACTAAGGAGATTTAGGTCACGGATGAGTTTCTTAAAGTGACTTCTGGCAGAACACTCTCTGAAACAGTAAGATGAGAGAAACTCAGTTCCTTCTCTTTTTATATTTCATATTGCTACAGATGAACGTTTATGTTACTGTAGCAGCATTTGTGCAGGACAGAAACAGAATTCGACTTTTTTAATTAAAGAAAAGGAGGAAATGAAATCCAATCCCTTTGACTCCTCCAGCTCACATGTTCATGGTTTATTACTTTAGATGGCTTTGGCCAGGCATGAAACTTAGCAAGCAGCCAGGAGTAGAAAATTCCCCGGCTCGGGACAACCATAACATTCATTCACATGGCCAGCCCAATTAATCTCTGAGTTCCTCTCTCTACCCCTTTCCGTCTCTGTCTTTGTATTGTCTCTCTTTTTCCTTTTTTTTTTCTCTCTCTCTCTCTCTCTCTCTCTTCTCTCTCACATACTGTGGATATTTTTAGGGTTTTTTTTTTTTAAGTTTTGTTAAGGGAAAACATTTTCAGTGTGTCAAGGAATTGTGAATCACTGCTACTTTTCAAAATGATCCTAATCCCTATTTTATAGAGAAAGTTATTCACCCGAAGACATTTTGTTGTCACTTTAAATGTCCCAATTGTGATTGGGGATTGTAAACTGTTTTTTTTTTTTTTCCCCCTTTTTCCTTAAATCTACAGCACTGCCTCCTAAACCACCCAAACCCACTACTGTAGCCAACAACGGTATGAATAACAATATGTCCTTACAAGATGCTGAATGGTACTGGGGAGATATCTCAAGGTAAGGCCACAGAAACTTGTAGTTTGCACCAGATACAGTTTTAGATTGAGAGGGGGTGGGGGCAGAGCACCAGCCTGCTGAGTTCCATTTTTAGGATGCCATCCAACGTAAGCCCGGAGCATTGTTGGCTCTGGTCCAAAGACGACCGGAAAAAAAAAAAAAAAAAAAAAAAAAAAAAGTCTGCGTGCTGGATAGCTGTGGGTGCTGGATGCCACAGGAAATTAAATACCAGGAAGTTTCATTGTTGAACTGGAAGAATTAATAATTATTGCCCTAAAAATGCCGTTGCTGGTTGCTGATATATTTATTTATTTGGGGGAAGGAGCGAGGGGCTAAGGAGAAACCTTTTGGGGGTAACTTTTTTAATGCCTTAAAAATTTTTTTTTTTTTTTTTTAAGAACCATTGGTGTGTTTGGTTAACAAATAAAACTGTATCCCACAGTGGTGAAAGCGAGTTCAGTTCCCTTTTGGTGGTGGTGGTGGGGGTAGGGAGGGCCCCCCCCCCCCAGTAGTGTTCAGGCACCTGTCATGAGACTAAAACTTCACCACAGAAAAACCACAGACATTGTGTCACTCTGAAAATGCAGTGTAGTATTCCAGAATCATTGCTAGATGTCAGAGATGAGCATTGTCTGTCTCTCTCTCTCCCCAACCCTCCCGCCCTTCCCCCCACTCTAGGGAAGAAGTGAATGAAAAACTTCGAGACACGGCGGACGGCACATTTTTGGTACGAGACGCCTCGACAAAAATGCACGGTGATTACACTCTCACACTAAGGTGCGTCTGAGGAGGTTGCTGGGATTGGGGGGTTGGGGCCGAGCTGAAGATGGATATTTCAATCGGGAATTAAGATGCCATTATGTTCTGTTCTGTATTTCCAGGAAAGGAGGAAATAACAAATTAATCAAAATATTTCACCGAGATGGGAAATATGGCTTCTCTGACCCATTAACTTTCAACTCTGTGGTTGAACTAATCAACCACTACCGGACTGAATCTCTAGCTCAGTATAATCCCAAGCTGGATGTGAAATTGCTTTACCCAGTGTCCAAGTACCAACAGGTAAGTACATTTGAAACAGCCATGGGGTTGGTGTTGAAGTGAGGTACTTGTAATACCTGGAAATGTGTTGAAGCAGGCAGCTTACATGTGATCCAGGGTGAAAAACTTTACACCTGTGAGCACAACATTATATCGTTCCATTCCCCCTAAATAAACTCCTTGAAGGGATTCCCACTCCCACCCCACCCCGCTCATCCATGTAGGATTGTTGGTTTAAACAATTGCTAGTGGATCCCAGTGCCTCAAAATCAATTTTTCCCCCTCTAATCTCAAATCTTTCCAGGATCAAGTTGTCAAAGAAGATAACATTGAAGCTGTAGGGAAGAAATTACATGAATATAATGCTCAATTCCAAGAGAAAAGTCGGGAATATGATAGATTATATGAAGATTATACCCGGACTTCGCAGGTGAGTTTTCTGGGAAAGTGGCTTTGTTCGATGAGATCTCTGGGTATCAAAGTGTCGCAACCTAAGTTCACGGGAAGAAGGACGAGGTGGCTGCGATGTTTTGAGTTCATCTAGCATCATTCCTGACTGTAGATGGGAATGCTTTGTGGATTGGCAGCTACTAAAGACTGAAGGCGCCCCCAGGTTTGAATAATCTCCGAAACAGAGACTTGCCCTGTCAAGACACCCTGCCAGGAGAAGCCATGCCAACACTGATGGCAGGATTCCCGCCGGCTGAATGCGCTCTCACCAGTCGTGTCCTTGAGGCCACCAGAGGGAGTCGAAGGTGGCATGAGGTTGCCCTCAACTGCTGATAAAGGGGAGCTTTTTTCAGGAGCGCAGCTTTTTAAAAAGATGCCAACTGTCGGAAATTTCTGGGCAGTCATGCGCCCTCCAAAAACAATTAAGAAACCAACTCACTGCCACCGGGTCTACTCGGAACCATAGCGACTCTATAGGACAGGGTAGAACTGGCCCCGTGGGCTTCCAAGACTGATATGTCTCCCAGGAGTGGGAAGCCCGGTCTTTCTCCCACAGAGGGGTTGGTGGTTTCAAACTGCTGACCTGTGGTTAGCAGCCTAAATGGGACCACATAGATCAGGGAAATCCTGTACATGAAGTGTGTGCTTCCTCAATCTTATTTAAATGCATTTTAGCAACCACACTCCACCTTCCTAACAGTACTTAAATGGTTGCATAAGTAATACCAAATGGCTGGGAGTGTCTTGCAGTGAGAATTGGTCATCTGTTCCCTGCAAGGTATGACGTCATTGTATGACATTGTGTTTTAGGAAATCCAAATGAAAAGAACAGCGATCGAAGCATTTAATGAAACCATAAAGATATTTGAGGAGCAGTGTCAAACCCAGGAGCGGTACAGCAAAGAATACATCGAAAAATTTAAACGCGAAGGCAATGAGAAAGAAATACAGAGGTTGGTGACTCGCGGGGAGGGGTCTCTCTGGCCCTTGTGCTACACAGAAGCAAAGCTCTGGAGACCTTAGTAGACGTTGGAAGCATTCTAATAAGGACAGGGAGAGAGAGCATTCTTTTCCCTGGGGAAAACTGCCGGGAAGTTTAGTGAAACCCGGCGTTCACTTTGGGGAGCCTCCACGGTGCACCCAGGCGATGACAGCCCTGTTTCTCTTGCCTGTAGGATTATGCATAATTATGAAAAGTTAAAGTCTCGAATCAGTGAAATTGTCGACAGCAGAAGAAGATTGGAGGAAGACTTGAAGAAGCAGGCAGCCGAGTACCGAGAGATTGACAAACGGATGAACAGTATCAAGCCAGACCTCATCCAGCTGAGAAAGACAAGAGACCAATACTTGATGTGAGTATTTGAACCAGAACCGCACGGCCAGGGGCTCGACGGGGGACGACTGGCACCGCGCGGGGCAGTTACTCACGCACGTTCTTCTGAAAACTCTCTTTACAGGTGGTTGACGCAAAAAGGCGTCCGGCAGAAGAAGTTGAACGAGTGGCTGGGAAACGAAAATACTGAAGAGTGAGTAGTTGCTGACAATGGGCGGGAGCCAGCGCGCGCTCTGGTGTTAGGGAAACACGGGGTCTGCTTTGATTTCCGAGCAAGCAAGGGCTTTCACGCAGTGTGGGGCCCCTACAGAAGAACACGTGTACATGCTGCCCTCTTAGCGAGTATTTTTTTAAAAGGAAGGTTGATGCAGAAGAACGCGTGTACACGCTGCCCTCTTAGCGAGTATTTTTTAAAAAGCAGGGCTGGGGTTTATTTTTACCCCTCATGGTGCCAAATGGCATGCTTTGTTGATCAGGCTGACCCTGAGCATCTGAAAAATTCCATAATACTTTTGGAACAGTCTGGAGAGGGTGGTGTGTAAACAAAGTTACGTTGGGTCCTTTGATGCTGACGACGTGGATGCTTTGTTTGAATTCACTGAAAGCTGGCGTGCCTGGGACACGGTGGGTTCTATGATCTGAGTGGGGTGTAGAGGACTGCGTGCCCTCCTTTTTGGCCTGGGTGGCGACTGAGTCTTAGTCCGGTGGGGTGATCCTGAGGGCCAGGCGTGATGAGTGAGCAACCCTGGAGTGTTGAGTTGCAGTCAGACGTGGGACCGCTGGCCTGGGGTGCTGGGCAAGAGAGCGGCAGGGCAGCAGAGACCAGAAGGCCCTTCCTGGGGAGGCAGCCGGGCAAGGTGGTGGCGTCCATGCCCTTCACTTAGAGGTCATCTGTCCTGCCTCCTCAGCCAATACTCCCTGGTGGAAGATGATGAGGATTTGCCCCACCACGATGAGAAGACTTGGAACGTGGGAAGCAGCAACCGGAACAAAGCGGAGAACCTGTTGCGAGGGAAGCGGGATGGTACTTTCCTTGTCCGAGAGAGCAGTAAACAGGGCTGCTACGCCTGCTCTGTCGTGTATGTATCTCCAGCACGCTCTCCTTTTGCCCCCTAACATTTCTCGAGGACTCATCATGCATCCCTCCATCCTCCTTCCCACCTTGGGGCGTAAGGATTTCAAGTCATTCTGGTGTATTAAGAGCCGTACTCAAGGCACCAAACTCACTGCCGACCGCCGTGCCCGTGCGTTTCTGAGCCTGTGTAACTTGACGGGAGTAGAAAGCCCCATCTCTCTCCCTCGGAGAGGCTGGTGGTTACGAACCACTCACCTTGCAGTTAGCAGCCCAGCTGATCACCCCTACTCCACCAGGGCTCCTCCTAAGAGCCTTGCAGCACAGCGGTAATGTAGTCGAGGAGATGAAATGGACATACCCGTCTTGTCAAAGTACTGAGGAGGATTACCGCTTTATTTATTTGTATTTGCTACCCACGACCGAGACCTCCTTAGAACTGAGGTAACTCAGGCGTGAGGGCTTCCCACAGGGTGAACGTATCTATAGGTCGAAACAGAACCTAAAAGAGGCCCCATATTTTTTGCTGTGTGTTATATTTTCTTCCTATTCCTTCATAGCGTGGGTGCTCCTTTTAAAAGTGCCCCATGCACAGGCACAATACCATTGGAGAGAAAGACGTGAAAGGTTATAAAAAAAGTTGTGGGGGGGCATGACACTCTCTCCATCTAATCAGAGAAACATCGGTAGAGGAGGCGAGAAGGAATCAGAAGAACTCTAAGCGCCAGGGAGTAGGCGAAGAGAAGTCCGTGCGGAGGGCGGAGCGGGGGTGTGCAGGCGCCCAGAGGACAGCCTAAAAGAAGGCGTCCTGTGGCGGTTACCACGCAGGTTGTGGCAGCACTGGCTGTGGCATTGTGGTGGGACGCTCCCGTTGGCTCCATGGTTACTGCAGGCATCCATGCTGCCATGCACAGCCCATACCGATTCCATTGCTCAGAGCTGCTGATAGCTAATAGCATCCTCCTCTTAGAGAAGAGATGTGGGTTATGTTATGCGGGTGGGTTACTTCCCAGTAAGGAAGCCATGGAGCCAGCGTTCCACTGCTGAGCTGGGGCTTCACCCCACCCAAGTTGAGGTGGCCTGAATGGAGTGCCCTTTCCCCGATGGCTTCCTAGAAACCTTTTGCAGAATTGTCCCATGTCCCGGACAGGCTCTGAAGGGCGTTTTCCTTTCTTCCCTCCCCTCTAGGGTGGATGGCGAGGTCAAGCACTGTGTCATCAACAAGACAGCGACCGGGTATGGCTTCGCGGAGCCCTATAACTTGTACAACTCGCTGAAAGAACTGGTGCTACATTACCAACACACGTCCCTGGTGCAGCACAATGACTCCCTCAACGTCACACTAGCCTACCCGGTATATGCACAGCAGAGGCGATGAAGCACCGACCGACACGCGGATCCTTCTCCTGACGTCCGACCACCCTGAGGCCTCTGGAAAGCAAAGGGTTCTCCTCCAGCCTGGCCTGCGAATTGAGCGCGGAGGCACAGCCCGCTGTCTTCTTGGATAGGACTAGCGCTTCTTCGACATAACAAAAGCAGTCAGGGGAGACGCACGGCCCAGGGCTGAGTGACCATACGTTTCTAATCCGGAGTGGTTTTCCTTTCTTTCTTCCCTGTTTTAATTTAAAGCCACCACAACTCACAAAGAGGAAAAACAAACAAAGAAATACAGCAATCTCTGCGTGCCAGGGACAAAGAGGCCTTTAACCATGGTGCTTGTTAGTGCTTTCTGAAGCTTTACCAGCTACGAGTTGGGACTCTGTAAACCGGAAGGTGAATGGGCTGAGCAGCCCCTGGGCCCAGGAAAGCGAGGTCCGGCCTGGGTTCGCCTGGGCGGGTGGCTGCCCCGCCGCCCCGGGCACGGTGCACTGTGGCTGGTTTCATTTTCTAACAGACGAACGATGTGCAGCAAAAAGGCACTTCTCACAAGGGTCACTTTGGAAGAATGTCACTTCACGTGCGTTCAGAGGGAACGCTGTCGTCACCAAGTGCCAGAACGGGTTTTGTTCAAACTTCAAAATGACAAAAAAAAAAAAAAAGGAGAAAAATCAGCAACCCACAACCCACCAACTGAGAAAGTGAGCTTGGGAAACGGGACTTTGAAAAATGACATTCAGTATATAAAATATGTACATATTATTGGATGACTAACTATCAAATAGATGGATTTGTATTAATACCAAATAGCTTCTTCTCTTGTTTTGCTGAAGGCTAAAGTCACAGCGCTATGCAATCCTTCATTTCCATTCAGTTATCTCCGTTTTAAATGTTCCTTCCGAATAAGTTTTCCCCACCGATTTTTGTTGCTTGAAAATACTGTAGTCCCTGATTTTTGTTAATATTCATTTTGTTATTTTTTTAAAGAAGAAATGTACAGGATGCCAGTAAAAAAATGGCTTCAGAATTAAAACAGAAAACTATGAACTATTTTACAGTTTTTCTTGTACAGAGTACTTGGCTGTTAGCCCAAGGTTAAAAAGTTCATAACAGGTTTTTGGACTGAATGTTTTGTTGGGCAGTGCCCGATAAGCTTCAAAGCTGCTTTATTCAATAAAGAAAAAGACCCGTGACTATGACAAAGTATGGCTGAGTCCAACGATACTGTGTCAAGACTCTTAGAATACGGTACCTGGCGATGTTTATTTCATGAAGAAATTATGAGCTTGAATCTAGGGATGGGGTGGGGTGGGGTAAGGAACGAAAGGGTCAGCAGGCGGGGCGGCAGGAAGGGTGGGGAGATGGTTCGCACTTTCTCGTGATCACAGAGCAGAAGGGAGTAACTGCAAAGTACAGTCTTTCCCCACTCTCTTTGGTATCGTCACCGACTGACGACCACCAACCCAGGGGAGCTCCCAGCACAGTTCAGCTGGTCTGATCCCAGCGGCTCTGATGAAGGAAGTTCTGGAGTTTGTCGGCATTGGGTTCCCGGCACCATGCTCGCCTTTGCTTTAGAACCTGGGTTTCAAGGTAGAGCCTGTGCCGTTAGAAATGCTCTCCCTGTGTTACATCACTTTGACCACGGCAGACCCCAAACATGACTTTTAGATGCAGCTTGGGCTGGTGGGGGAGGGAAGTATATTTTTATTCGAGTGTTATGTTATGTTTCTACCCCTTCAATTCATAACCTAAAATAGATGTGTTCACTATTGTCATCGCTCTGGGCCAAAGGGAGCTTGTTAAGGACAGCAAGGCCATTTCAGGAATCCCAAGTCATTGTACCCGTGCTTCCCTGTGCGGAAAGGAAAGGGGATTGTGGCGAAAGCCATCTTTCCAAATCGGGAAGATAGAGAAGAGTTGCTCCCTGATTCCAGTGGACAAAAGCCCTTGGATTCCATAGGAATTGTACAGTGTTGCAAGAACTAGGGACTCATTCTACTCACGGACACTAAGCCTGATCAATTGAAGTGGAGCCTTGCAATTCTGATCTTTCTTTCTCCGCTTTAGACTGATTGGCCCACAACTTTATGTCTCTCTCACATGTTGCTGGCGAGGGTGTCTTCCTCTGTTTCAGTGCTGAGCCCTGTAAAATTCTTTTTAAAGAGCCGCACCCGCAGCTGACTTAATCATCTGTAGAATGTATGCCCTGCGCCCCCACCCCCACCCTTTTCCATAAAGCGACTCAAGATGTAAGTCAGTCCAGCAGCCAGACCGTCAGCTCTGAAACTTGACGGAACTGATCAAACCATCTCGCCTCTCATCGCCAGACAATAAGATTCCCCGGGTTTTAGTTTGCGTCTTTGCTTTAAGGCTTTGCGTGGCCTTCTCCCCGGCCACATCACTCAAAAGTGTAGCCGTTGTTTATGAGCTGGTTTTTGCTCTTGTAGCACACCCCAGTTAGGTGCCTCGGTACCTAATTTTTATTCCATTTCAAAAATGCAAAAGTTGAGTCGAAATGGTTCATTAGAGGCTGTTTCATGAATAATTCTGCTTCAACACTCTTGAGCAAGTAGACAGGGTATTTATGCTTTTTGCCTCATTTTTGCATCTCAGAAGCATACATGACACAGTAGGTTTTCCAGGCAAAGGCAGGGCAGGAGCCCACGCTCCTACCCCCTTGGCCAAGTTTCTGTTTTTCTACCATGTTCACCTCCTTTACCTTTCTTGACATTTGAATACTAAGTGATGGTCAGGTAGTTGTGGCCCACGGGGTTTAAGCAGACAGTCATCTTTTAATGGCCTTGTCTGGGTGGCCCCGGGTGTACCCAGGGGCGTTCTTGATACACGATGTTATGCACGCATCCATTCCCCACCCACTGTAGTGTCCTACAGATAAAGAGGGGAGCTAAGCTGCAGACAGCCTGTGATAGGGCTGCAGAAACGGAAGCCTTGGAAACCTCCTGTCCATTATAAATGGCAGAAAGATACCCAGGTGAAAAGGCCGAAAGCGTGTGACACCTGACAACTTCAGAGCCCTTGCGAACCTGTATATATGTATATGTGCATGGACTGTGTTTCCAGTACACCTTCAGCCAAGACAAATCGTTGCGTTCAAGTATGTAACAAGCAGTGTCTAGTACAATTCTTGTATATGTGTAGGGCTGGTGTTCCTTTCTCTGAGGTTCTGTGTTGTCTGATAAAGTCGAACATTTGTTTTCAAGTAAAGTGTGAAGTCCATAATTCTTTGGCTTTTTTGTGTTCTTTTCAAAGTGACTCCTCTTGCAGAGGCTGGTCTCGATAACTCGCTGAACAGGGAAATCCTTGTCTTTGGTATGTGAAGTCAAAAATGTGTTTCTGTGAGCTGTCACTGCGGGGAACCAATTGCTCTGTCATATAGCTGGTGATGAACTAATGTGTTTGGGAAGTCCTCCTGATGCTCCTTCTTGGGAGAACCATTCTGCTGGCATTGACAACTAGGCTTTTGCTGGGCAGGGGACGCACCTGCAAGTGGGAAAAGAGACCCAGAGGCGCTGTGGGAGCCCAGGGGCATTTCAGAGAGGGGCAGTTTCAAAGCACAATGCCTCACATGGGACAAAGTTCCAAAATGCCAAAATCTTATTTTTTTGTAAATCTAGTGATAGACTAGCATTGTGGGTGGAGTGCATAGAACATTGGGTTTATTGGGCAGGCAATTCAACTTACTGTGAAATTTGTCACCATGAGATAGCATTAGCTGCCCAGGATGCTGCTATTTAAAAACAAAGAAACAAACAAAAACATTACCCCCCCACACAAACACCCCGACTCATTTATATGGGTGTATTTTTTAAAGTTACAATCTGTTCAAGCTTTTTACAAATCTGTTTATATGACATTGTGAAAGTTGGTCTTTTGACGAGAGGGAGGATGTCATGGTCAGTTGTAATTCTGCCTTTACAAGGCAACTGGGGTGGGATGGGGTGGGGGAGTGTGCCTCTTGACATTTTGTTCAAACTACAGATTAATGGCGCTATCTGTGTCTCGTTGTTTTAAGTTGCTTTAATGCATTGTATTAGGTCTTCAAACAGAATAAAGGTTGTTTTGAAACTTCAGTGTGGGGTTGAAAGTTCAATGACCACCTTGGAAATATTGCCCACCCAGCTCTTTGGGCAAATCTGTGTGGCTGCTGTTTCTGTTCTCCCAGCCCCACCCCCTTTTGTCCCATGGTCACTTTATCTCCTCTGGTTAAGTAAGGATGGCATAAGTCACAGGAACGGTGACTTTCCTTACTGTTTACTTTATTCCGTGTGAAATGGCCTTAATGCTAGCTGCCAACTCTTGGCAACCCCAAGTACTAAGTGATTGTCAGGAGAATGCCAGGTCTTTCTTCCTAGTCTGTTTTAGGGGAAAAGCTCCTACTAGAACCTATTCAGCAGCATAGCAATACACAAGCCTCCACTGGCAGAGAGGTAGTGGCCGTGCATGAGGCCCATTGGCAAGAACTGAACCCAGGTCCCTCACATGAGAAGTCTACCACCAAACTGACCCCTAAGAATGAGACCAAAATGCCTCCCACAGACTCACTTCCCCCCAGCCAGTCCTGGACTCAAACAGTGAGCCTGCTTCTGTTGAGTTTCCAAGACTATAGGAGTAGAAAGTCTCATCATTTTCCCAAGGAAGCAGCTGGTGGTTTCCAACTCCTGACCCTGCAGTTAGTAGCCTAACACAGAACCACTCTGCTACTGAAGTTCATCAAAAGACCTTGGTGAAGTCATTTCAGGACACGGCCCTACTCTAAGAACCATGAATGCCCACTGTCCTTGGTCCCTCCCCAACCCCAAGCCTTCAGCAGCACGCTCTGCACTGAGCTGATGGCTTCGTGTGGTTTGCGGTGCTTGTTTCTGCTGTACAGTCTGAGGCGCTCAGCATACACTTCACATCTCAGGTCCACCTTGTACCATCTAGTTCAGGTACAGAAGTCTTCCTGTGACATAGTTTGTACAGCTGCTCTTCAGGAGCATATGACACCGTTGTGTTGCCTATAGGTGCAACCACTTTCCCTGTCAGCCCAGTGAGGGTCCTAAACATGAAGAAGACAAATCCACGGTTGGTAATGGAGGGAAGATTACAACAGCAGCGACAACATAGCATTTGCTGAGTACGGCAGGGGCTGACTGCTTGCTCTCACGAGTCCGCTGCCCACTTAACCTGTGCTGTGTATGAACTCTCAAAACCTACGGCCACTGAGTCGATGCCAACTCATAGTGACCCTGTAGGACAGGGTAGAACTGCCCCTGTGAGTTTCCAAGATGGTAACTCTTTACTGGAGTAGAAAGCCTCATGTTTCTCCCAAGGAGCGGCTGATGGTGTTGAACTGCTGACTTTGTAGCTGGCAGCCCAATGCATAACCACCACACCACCAGGACTCCTGTTGTGTATACAAAGAATTATATTCTCAGAGTCCTTTGCTCTTTAGCTTCTCAGTGGGGTGAGTCTCCTCTGTAGCTACAGCTCCTGCCTCAGTAGGTTCTAGATCTCTGTAGACGCCTCTGACCATACGGCTTCCTTTCATTTTCACTTTAGTCCAAGGGGTAGAAGCAGCTTTCAATTGTTGCTAAATCTCTGCTTTCCGTCACCACCTCCTGCTTGGTTTCTGAGCTTTTCGAGCCCAAGAATAGCCAATTCCTTTCTTTAAATTCTCTCTGTGGGAGCCAAGTTCTTTCCTGAGTGGATGTTGACCCAAGTGGTCATTATGCACTCAACTCTGTGTGTTGTTTGCCTTCACCCTTCCATAATTACAGGAGTTAGACGGTGTCATCCCCATCCAACTGATGAGAAGACAAGTACGTAAGGGAAATGATTTTCCCAAGGTCAAGTGGCCATTGGCGTGCCCAGGCTGGCTGACTCCATCGGGAGGTCTTGAGAGCTGTGCCCTCCGAAGACTGCCTTCCTATGGAAACCCCTCTACGGAGGGCAAAGAAAAGTCCACCGCCTAACTCCTGCTGCGGCTCTCACCATGGGGCTCGCTGCTGGTGGCCACTGCACAGGTGGCCAGTGATGAAAGGCGGGAAGTGGTCTGGGTTTGCCCCACAGCCGTGCCCCAGAGTCTGAGGGACCCTGAGACTAGCAGCGTTCGCTTCCTTTGGAAATCGGTTAAGAGCGCAAATGCTTAGCCTCTACTCTGGTCCCGCTAACTCTGAGGGGGACCCGGCTGTCAGCAAGCTCGCCAAGTGATTTCACTAAAGATTGACAGATCCCCTGATGGTTGAAGCAAGGCCTCCAAAACAAATAAACAAGCCTTTCCCCAGAGTTTTATTGGCATATGATTCACAGATACAATTCAATAGTTCAATCACATCAAGAGCTGTACAGCCATCATCACAGTTTGAGACTACTTCTTTCATTCTTAGAGTTATTAGCCCCTCTGTCATGCTCCCAAGGAATCATTAATCCAGTTACTGTCTCTGTAGATTTACCTATCCTGGATTTCATATATGCAGAAACACATTTTTTGAAAAACCAACAATAAATTTAAACAAATAAAAACCTCAATTGAAAGAAGGCAGAAAATATTTTAAAACTAGAACAAATTCAAATGACTCCAAAGGGAGATCAAATGATCGGGCACTACATTTTAACCTCACTGCATGTCAACAATCTGCTTTCCAATGTGTTCTGCGTGTTCACATCCCTGGTCCACGGTCAGAAGGGATTCCCCAGGGGCTTATGTCACGTGTGTTTCTCTTCCCCCCTTTTTTACTTTTTAAAATGGGTCCGAAAGGAGAAGGCCTTGGACGTCTTGATGAAACACGCTGCCATTAGCTGTGGCACAAAGGCTTAAAATGGATGCTTGGTATAGAGCAGTGGTTCTCAACCTGTGGGTCGTGACCTCTTTGGGGGTCGCCCGATCCATAACAGTAGCAAAATGACAGTGAGGAAGTAGCAACGATAATAATGTTATGGTTGGGGTCACCACAACCTGAGGAACTGAATGAAAGGGTTTCGGCGTGAGGAAGGTTGGGAACCACTGGTAAGAGGAAGAGCAGCGGGCAAGTGTAACCCTCTCATGGCCGATTCGCTTTCTGCTTTGCGTTGGTGTTGAGGTTGGCCCCATGAGCTTCCGGCAGGGGCCGGCCGGCTGATGAAAGGCACGTTCTTTTTTCTTTTTCTTTTTCAGGGAAAATGGATTTTCATACAATGACATGGGACATGTGTCTTAAGTGGCCTTTAGCGGTGAGGTTCATGGGGTCAGGATCATTTCTTCAGCTTCATGGAGTTAGACAAGCCCGTGACAGGCAGTAGGAGAGCAACTTCTGCAGACCGTTGAGGGATGACCAGGTTGGTGGGGTGAGCGGAGAAAGGGTGAGCGACCGATCTTGACCCTCAGCTCCTGAACTGTAAACTAAGAGTAGGGCTGTGAGCCATGAGACTAAATGTAAGCTGTTGTGTGTTACACACAGGAGACTCCTCAAAACTCCCTGTTCTCCCTGTGATGTTTGCTGCACTTTTAGCCCACAACTGGCCTCCGGCTACAGACCACTCTGCAAGTGACTGAATGCGGACTGGCCTTTCATGGCGTTGTCAGCGTGTTAACGCAATGGGGGTCCCTTCATCTAGCTGATACCTTAAAGTTCCACTTGGGGGGAATCAACATGAGGACGCAAGTTGAAATGACACGTTGTCCATCCCCCTGAAGCACAAGGCACTGAGTCAGAGAGCTCGGCCTGCCAAATCCTCTTCTCGAAAGACAGCACTTTGTAATCACCAGCTTGCGATTGATGCCGTAAATCAGCTCAATGGAAAACTGCTGAGACACTTTAAAAAAAGAAGAAGGAGGAGGAGAAGGAGAGGGAGAGAGGAGGAGGAGGGAGTAAGCACACATATGCTTACTGGCCTGTCACTTTTCAGGAGGAAACTTAGAAGTTCCTTGCCTTCTGTGGTGCCCAGTCACAACAGTCTGAAACGTGGCCTCAGGCTTTGGTTGAATAAGAAATATAGAGATGGAGATATAATAGATACATCAAACAGACATAGACATAGATCTCTGATGCTCTACCTGGCTTGACACGTGTCTATAATACAAGAGAACAGAAACCGTCCAAACCCCCCAGTACCACCAGCCATGGCTCTAAAGACAAGGCTGCAGGAGCACTTCATTCGTCACCGGCCCTGCTCGTCAGAATGAGGGTTTTGACTGGAAAGCGTACCCGACATTTCCTGACTCGCCCAATGGAACCAGTTTATTCACGCAGCGCTCACTG